CAGAGGCGTGGTTGCAGAGCACACGGTGTACACTGAACGCTCAGCAGCTCCTGATGAGGGTGAGGAACTCTTCCCGCGTCTTGGGATCTTCCCGGAACACACCCAACATCGTGCTGGTCACAGTCTTGCTGTTCATTTTCTGTACTCCTCGCATTACCATGCACATGTGTCTACAGAACAAGCCAACCAAGGGAGAATAAACAGTTACTGGTTTGGTTTTTCAAATAAAAAGCAGGCCGAAAGATTCAATCTGATTAAACTGGGTTCACAATAACCAGGTTTGTCACTTAGATAAATTTTATCTAAAAATATATATATATATTAAAGTTTCTTAGTTTTCTATCTTTTATTCTTCTCAGTGGTTGAATCCTTAAGGCATCCAACAGGAGAGGGGAGAATGGGATGTTCTTCCTAGGTGAAAATAATACAAGTGGTCTATGGAGATACAACAAGTTCGAGATAAGAAGAAATCCACAGCTCTCACTTGTTCCATTCTCATGGCCAAGACAGCGTTATGCTAGCTGAGGTGTTCAGTGAATGGTGAAGCATCCAGAACCCAGGACGGTGACCACGGTGAGTTTGAGCGACCTGGCGAAGCGGGAGAGCATGCACAGCGCAGAGTCCATGCCACACCGGGAGAATGCATGAGAATTTTGCCCACAAGCTGCATGCAATTCTCATAATGCATTCCAACTTACACAAGTGTCTTCTGGTGCCCTTTGTACCCATTCTTAGTTCTCTCTACTTTTTAAAAGACGTGCCAAAATATTAGAAAAACTCAGGTTGGAGCAACAAAGAGCTAAAGAAGAAATCAAGAGAAGATATACAGCCCTAACCGGTTTGGCTCAGTGGATAGAGCGTCGGCCTGCGGACTCAAGGGTCCCAGGTTCGATTCCGGTCAAGGGCATGTACCTTGGTTGTGGGCACATCCCCAGTAGGGGGTGTGCAGAAGGCAGCTGATCGATGTTTCTCTCTCATCGATGTTTCTAACTCTCTATTCCTCTCCCTTCCTCTCTGTAAAAAATCAATAAAATATATTTTTTAATAAAAGAGAGAGAAGATATACAACGCTACTGCCTAAGCTTATGACTCCCTGCTCTTCCACAACCTCCACCCCCAAACTCACACACACAAAACAGGCTCCCATACCCTCGTTCCCGTATTGGCAACACAGAAAATGAAATGAATATCCCTTCATGCACCACTATGACATTATTAAAGGCAAATACGGACTTACGTTGCTTCAACCACGACCCCGACTCCCGCAGGCCGCAAGGCTTCTGTGATTGCTACGGCAATCTGTTTCGTAAGGCGCTCTTGAACTGTGGACGTGACAAGGAGCTCAGTTTAAGTGTCTGACACAAACAGCTGAACGTTTTTGCTGTCTCCAGGATATATAAAAATCTCAAAAGCAGACTTCTGAGAGAGGTAAAAGCCGAGACACACCAGCTTCAACCAGCTGGCTCTGTCTGCTGCCTGGGCCACAGGAGGCCCCTGTCGCATCCCGGCCCTCAGTACAGGTGCTGACAAGAGCTCAGGAAGCTGGGCGCCCTCCAGCACCCCTGGAGGGAATGGAGTAGAGCAGCAACTGTCTCCTGGGTGCGCAGCAAGACCATCAGAATATTGGTAACAAGCACCTCCACAGAGGAGAGCAGAGCAAATGAAAAAAATAGCTCGGCAACAGGATTAACAAGGGGGCTACAGTGTGATTGCTGAATTGTACTTAGAGCAATGCTGAAAACCAGTGAGTTAACCTCCACAGTTCCTGTGCTGAATACACAACTGACCTCTGAATACATACATTCACTGCAGCATTACATCCATTTGAAAGCTGACAAATTTCCCAAATGTCTATCAGAGCAGGGATTGGTTAAATGAAGCCACAGCACAGCCGTGCAATGGAACGCTGAACAGCGGGCAAAACAAATGCAATACTTTCATGTCTGTGGGGGAAAATGTTTAAGATGTAAGGGGTGGGGGGGTGGATAGAGAAAAAAGATAAGTGAAGCCCATTATGTATAATATGAGCCCGTTTTGAAATGTAATAAAATTAATTTACTTTAAAATGTTTGTATATGCATAAAAATGTGAAGGAATGTATACAGCAGACATTTTCTGTTTTTTATGCCTATGAGGTTTTAATTTTATGTCATGCGTATTACACTTATAAGAACAATAAGAAAAAACTTTTTCAGTAAAAAAAATAGTTTTAAAATTTACCTTGTAATCTTCTACTATAGATTTCTACAATCCTAAAAAAGAAAGATTTGTTTTAGTTAATGATAAAAATTTTAAAGTGAAATTGCTAAGGCTTCCTCATAAGACTAAAAGGACTTCATTGAAGCAATTATAGGATGTGAGCAGGAGATTAATGCTTACAGGAGGATAGAAAGATATAAAAACTACAGGACAATAAAGAGGGAAGATCTAATGGAGACCAACTAGGACAGAGTGGTGTGTCCCTATGTCCCCAAAGAGAGAGAGAATTAAGAGTATATAGTTCACTTATGAAAAACACAATTAGAGATGAGTAATTTTAAAGCTCTCAAGTCATCAATTCTAAGCCAAGACTGAAGTGTTCTAATATATATATATATATTTATTGATTTTAGAGAGGAAGAGAGAAGGAGAGAGAGATAGAAACATCAATGATAGAGAGAATCATTGATCAGCTGCTTCCTGCATGCACTCTACTGGGGATCGAGCTCGCAACCCAGGCATGTGCCCTTGATCAGAATCGAACCCAGGGCCCTTCAGTCCGCAGGCTGACACTGTATCCCAGTGATGGCAAACCTATTGAGCTCAGCGTGTCAGCATTTTGAAAAACCCTAACTTAACTCTGGTGCCGTGTCACATATAGAAATTTTTTGATATTTGCAATCATAGTAAAACAAAGACTTATATTTTGATATTTATTTTATATATTTAAATGCCATTTAACAAAGAAAAATCAACCAAAAAAATGAGTTCGCATGTCACCTCTGACACGCGTGTCATAGGTTTGCCATCACTGTTCTATCCACTGAGCCAAACCAGCTAGGGCTCAAGTGTTCTAATTAAATATATTGTTTAATCAAAGCTTAAAGTTCAAGTTAAAAATAAATATTTGTTCATTAATAGCTAGACCATTGTCAACTACTGTGCCAACTAACCCTATTAGGATAATCAGATTAGAACTGAACAGACTTCTCCAAACATCTCTTTACATAATAGGTCCATCTGAGCAATCAATATGATTAACCCCCTCCCAAAATAAAAGCTGACTGATCTTAGCTTATAGCACCATCTGTCAAATGATGATTTTTCTCCGTTCAACATCTTTCACTCTAGTGTGAAATGTAAAGACGGCCACATGAATCACCCATTTTATTTATTTCTCTATTATTATTGATTTTTAGAGAAAGGAAGGCAGGGAGAGAAAAAGAAACATCTCTTTGTTGTCCCCCTTATTTATGCATTCATTTGGTTGCTTTTTGTCTGTGCCCTGACCGGGCATCAAACCCGCAACCTTGGCGTAATGAGGATGATGTTCTAACCCTGTGGTGGGCAAACTGCAGCTCGCGAGCCACATGCGGCTCTTTGGCCCCTTGAGTGTGGCTCTTCCTAAGCCTTAGGAGTACCCTATAGTTTAAGTTTAAAAAATTTGGCTCTCAAAAGAAATTTCAATTGTTGTACTGTCGATATTTGGCTCTGTTGACTAATGAGTTTGCCGACTACTGGTAACCAACTGAGCAATCTGGCCAATGCTATGAATCACCCATTTTAGAATAATAATTCACATTAAGGACCTTTTCTTTAAAATTTGGCCTTCTGGTCATGAATTTGGACTCAAGGTTCGTGTACGAGGCATTTTAAGGCTCTTCTCTCCAATATGACCCTCATGTAGAACTGACAATTGCTCCTTTCTACCTGTTACAGCAAATAAAGTCAAAAAAGGGCAGGTTGCCCTATTCACCACTCAACCTGAAGGCAGGAGCCACTCTGATTCTTCTGTGTTCCCAGCAGGCAAACCACATTGAAGGAACTCCAATAAATATATTTTTTATTTTGTTTATTCAGTATAATTATTTTGAATCCTCACCAGAGGGTATTTTTTCCCCATTGATTTCTAGAGAGAGTGGAAGAAAGGGAGGAGGGGAAAAGAGAGAGACAGAGAAACACTGAAGTGAGACTCATTGGTTGGTGTGCCCCTACCAGTGCTGTGGAACCTGCAACCAAAGTACGTGCCCTGGGCCAGTAATTAAACCCACGACCATTCAGTGTGCAAATATATAAAAATATGTTCACCAAAGCATTTTTTTTTCTTTCTTGACCGTATCTTCAAACTTTGTATGTATATCAAAGACTGGTTAAATAAATTCTATTAATCAGTCAAAGAAGTACTATGTAACCATTAAAAAGGACTTGGACTTTTTGGACTATTTCTTTTGTGGCGGGGGAGACTTTGTTTTGTTTTGGTCATTGTAAAGAGCTTTGTGTTTGTATTTTCATAGAAATTTTCCAGAGAATAGTGAAAGAAATATCTAGTTTTTATGCTGGGGAATAAAAACAGGAAAGAAAAACTTTCCTTTTACTCACTCACTTGTATTTAAATTTAACTGGTATGTATGTTACTTTTATAATTGAGAAAGAAGGAGGGAAATGTTCTCTTTGTAATCTGATGCCTACCCTGCCTTTTAAACTATCTCCCCATTACCCCTGCCTACATTTCTTATTTCTAACAAACAGATGTGTTCCCTATCCACCAGACCATGCCTTGCTCCTACCCTCTGATTTGCCTCTGCTTAGGTATTAACTATACCTAGAGAAACTCTCTTCCATTTAGAATTCTGCTCAGCCCTCCACCTCTGGGCCTCTTCAACCATGCCAGGCCACAGCTACCTTGCCTCCTCTAAACTGGGAGCTCCAAACCAGGTGTTTGCATGGCACCTGGTGCCTCATATTCTCACCCTCCTGAGGGCGGAGGCTTTGTCCTACTTCTCTCTGGCACAGTGTCCTTTCCCAGTGGGTGTTCAATAGACTAACCACGGCTACCACGAGGCACTGCAATTCAAAATTCAAGATTTAATTCTGTTCACTTGGTTATTAAGGCAAGAAAATTAATATATGTTCAATGGATTTTTAGCAACAAAAGGAATTTCTTTTTTCTTTCTTTTTTTTTAATATGGGACGTTTCACAGATTTGCGTGTCATCCTTGCACGGGGGCCATGCTGATCTTCTCTGTATCGTTCCGATTTCAGTATATGTGTTGCCGAAGCGAGCACTAAAGGACTTTCTATTCAAACTAGGTTTACTCTAGAATTCTAAAGTTCAACCAGATCAACTCACTTCTGGCATTTTCTTATTACTTTGGGCTTTACTGTTGGACTGATGATATTTGACTTCTGTGGCACTGAAAGGTCACTCGTTTAAAGGCAAGCATATAACACTTCACATACAAGAGTAAAATGAACAGTGAAGTTTTGCAAAGACATTCACTTTGCTTTATTACTCTTCATTCCCTGAATATTCCAACTTCTTACAAGGAAGAGCAGTTGGATAAAAACTTAGCCTTCTTGCCCTAGCTGGTTTGGCTCAGTGGATAGAGCATCTGCCTGTGGACTGAAGGGCCCCAGGTTCTATTCCAGTCAAGGGCACATGACCGGGTTGCGGGCTCAATCCCCAGTAGGGAGTATGCAGGAGGCAGCCGATCAATGATTTTCTCTCATCATTGATATTTCTATCTTTCCCTCTCCCTTCCTCTCTGAAATCAATAAAAATATTTTTTTAAAAAAACTTAGCCTTTTTTTCCACTTAATAGAACCTTTATTCAATTTTTTTTTACAATAAATCTGAAACTAACATACACTCGGTTTTTGGTTTAGCTTTCCTTTCTTTCCCCCACTTAAATTTTAATCCTATTAGTTTAAGGACAAATCTCCAGGCTAAATCAATTCCTTTGTATTGTTTCATAAAAGCCTAATTATTTGAGATCTTTTCCTTGCACGAGGAAAGGAAATAACCAAAGGTTATTCCTTCTACTCCCAAGTTACTATGTATTCCAAGATCTCACTGGATCACTCTGGAATCCACTTCCATGAAGTGTTACCCATGGTCTACATACAGTGGTCTTTGAGAGAAGGTGCTCACCTTAAGACCAAGGCCTGTGTAGTCTGCCAAGCTGTATATAATATGAAAACTCTCCACTACACACCTTTCCCAGGTGGACAGGCTGTGACTGGCACCAGCAGTGCCAGAATACCTACATGGGGAAGATGCAGGGTTGGCAACAGAAATTACAGTAGGGTTCGTTACCCCGTCACCACCAATACTGTTTCTCAGTCGCCCCTTGGCACCGCCATTGGGTACAAATCACTGAGAGGTGGAAGGAAACTTGGGATCTGTGTTAGGAGCCTTATTGCAGTGAAGCACTTACAGCTGAGACAATAGCCTCCTTTCATGGGCCAAGGAGCTCTGTCTGGTGGCAGGATTACTGACCAAGAACAAAGTCAGACACCAGGGAAGTTAAATTTTTCTCTTCTACTGACTTTCTCCTTAGTCCCTAGAGGAAATGAGTGAAAAGAAAGTAAAAAAGAAGAGCCATGGAAGGCAGCTGTCAGACTGCTGGGTGGTTTTACAGACTCGATATGGAACTGAAAAACAGCTGGACCATTTCGGGACTGTGGCAAAACTCAGTCCAGGTGGAGAAGAAGCAGAAACACATCAAAGCCACAGAAGAGTCACATGATCATGAAGGTCCATTTACTCCAATTTTGATATGGTCACTATAACCTCAATCAAGTTATGGAAACTTAGCGTGGTTTGTTGTAAAAAGTATGTTTTGGAGGGGAAGCACTTGACTGTGTATTCATTACCTACTTTTCTTCATTTTGTTCTTAACTCTCTCTCAAAACACACACACACACACTCACCCTCCCAGGATTTCCCCAGTACTATTTCTATACAGAGAAATTACAAAAGGGGCATTAAAATACTGACGATGGATCTATCCAAGATATATAAACATGGACCCTCAAGTTGACTGCCAATTAAATAGATTACCATACTCTTCTTCCTAAAACCCTAAAAATGATAGCAGAGGGAAAATGTTTAAAGGAAGGAACACATAGAATAAAGAATGGAAAAGAAGCTAAAGCAGAAAGGAAAGAAATGGGGGAGAGGATGGTAAGCACTATCTTGGAGTAGAGCTGAGAGGAAGACACAGACTTGTGTCTGCAGAGGCAATGAAACTAGAAGTGAACTGACTGGCCCTGTAGGACCCAAGAGAGATGCCTGAAGGCAGGGTTGAGACCCCAAATGATGGCTGTTGGATTAAAAGTCTGAAAACAGCCCTAACCGGTTTGGCTCAGTGGATAGAGCGTCAGCCTGCGGACTCAAGGGTCCCAGGTTCGATTCCGGTCAAGGGCATGTACCTTAGTTGAGGGCACATCCCCAGTAGGGAGTGTGCAGGAGGCAGCTAATCGATGTTTCTTTCTCATCGATGTTTCTAATTCTCTATCCCTCTCCCTTCCTCTCTGTAAAAAATCAATAAAACATTAAAAAATAAAAATAAAAATAAATAAAAGTCTGAAAACAGTACAGTGCAGTTACACCCCTGCCCGGGTTTCTTCCCTGACACCCCGCTGTTAGCTAAGCCACCCAGAAAGGACTGGGGCTCAGGTCCTCTCCAGTCAGGGAAGGCTCTACAGAGGAAGGCGTGAGCTAGGACTTCAAGGATATGCCAGTGGGTGGAAGGCTAGGAGACAGGGGCGCCGGGGAGGCAATGGGGGAGTGAGGAAAAGGACATTTGTACTTTAGGTCCTAAGTCCTCTAAGTCTTTATAAATTTTAAGTTGCAATGTGACCTCCACATTAGATCCACACTGGTCAAGAAGGAAAGCCTGCTGAGATCCTCGCTGTGTAGGCCCAGGTCCTACATGCCTGTTTTCCTATTCACCACGCAGTCATGCTTACCTTGCAAGTTTGCTGAGGCCAAGGACTTGCTTGTTGGGAAGGTAACCGATGTGGACCTTCAGAGAAGAGACAGAAATTATGAGCCAAGTGAAAATACAGTGCTTCCTTGTGACAAAATAAGGAAATTAGGAGACAATACAAAATACTTTTATGAAATTCATCTCATGAAATGTGTCTTTAAAACATCTGGAAGACTTAAAATTTAAAAAATAAAGCACATATGTATACATTTAAAATTTACATAAATGCAGTAAAAGGAAAATATATAAGAATGGTTCTATTAATAAAACAACAAATTTGAATAGAGTCATGGTATTTCCTGGTGAAGTTAAATTCTCTTTACAATTCTTAAAGTTTTTCCTTATTGAGGGGAAATATCAAGAAAGTGCAAATTATCCTGCAACCAAGTAAACTGTAGGCAGGCCCAGCCGGTGTGGCTCAGTGGTTGAGCATCAACCCATGAACCAACAGGTCCCCAATTCGATTCCTGGTCAGGGCACATGTCCAATTGCAGGCTAGATCCCCAGTGAGGGGAGTGCAGGAGGCAGCCAATCGATGTCCCTCTTTCATCGATGCTTCTATCTCTCTCTCTCCCTCTCTCTCTAAAATCAATAAACATTTTTTAAGTGGAGCCAGAAATGCCTCCTCTAAATGGTTGAAACTATAACTTTAAAGACTGTCATTCCACACATCACTGTAGCCTTAAAGATCCCACCCTGTTGTACAGAAAGAGGGGTTCCACTCCCTTTGTCACACATGGCGGCCTCGATTCTAAGCTGCAGGAGCGTACCAGCTTCCCAGCTAGAGAAGAGCCCAGGGGCAAATGTGACTGCGCAAGAACCTGGATCCTCACACTAATGTTCTTATAGAATTTACTATTAGAGAGTTAAAACTCTCCCATAGAATCAAAGCCTTTGCACCACTTGAAATGTTTATCCAGTGGTTCTCAACCTGTGGGTCGCAACCCCTTTGGCGGTCAAACGACCCTTTCACGGGGGTCCCCTAAGACCATCCTACATATCAGATAGTTACATGATGATTCATAACAGTAGCAACATTACAGTTATGAAGCAGCAACGAAAATAATTTTATGGTTGGGTCACAACATGAGGAACTGTATTTAAAGGGCCAGAAGGTTGAGAACCCTGGAACTTTATACTAACATGCAGGGCTATAATCTGTGCATTGTTCGTACTATTTTTGGTCTTCTTAAAGATCCTAAGTCATATAAATGCCCATTTTAAAAAATCATCACTGAATATTGTATTTAAAACAGAATTAGCAAAAACACAAACACAGAGGTGCTCCTAGCAGAAGGTAATAGGGTATAGTGGTGAGATACTGTGATTTGTAAAAAATATGTATGTGGTCTTCATTCACCATTCCTGACTCATAGCTCCCAAAATCCTTGGAATTTTTCAAGTATTGAGAGGTGGGGGAGGGAGTGTATTTTGTTATGTTAATGAAGTAGCTTGGACAACACCTAAGAATGGGGCCTGGTTGCCAATGGAACCTAAGTGATTAAAGGATTGGAACTTCCAGTCCCACCCCACCTCCAGGCATACCACCCAGGAGGGGAGAGGGGCTGGAGGTTGGATCTATTGACAATGGCCAATGATTTAATCAATCGTGACTATACAATGAAGACTCCATAATAACACAAGAGGACGGAGTTCAGAGAGCTTCCCAGTTGCTGAATTCCCAATAAGCCAGTAACCTAGTAAGTAACATGTTTCTTTGAGTACTTGTGAGCCATTCTAGCAAATTAATCAAACCCAAGGAGAGGTTTGTTGGAACCTCCAATCTGTAGCCAGTTGGTCAGAAGCACAGATCTGAATCTGGGCTTTCAGCTGGCTTCTAAAGTGTGTGTGTTGGCAGGATGGGGCTCCAGGCTGGGGGTGGGGGTTGGGCGGTCTTCTTGGACTAAGCCCATAACCTGTGGTATCTGATGCTATCCCACCTCCGGGTAAACACTATGAGAATTGAGTCGATACTCAGATAGCCTGCTGGCTTCCTAGAATTATTCGTTAATGTGGGGAATTCCCTTCTATGCCCAACCTCACCACGTTGGAATTAGGTCTGAGACTCCTAAAGAAGTGGTGAGAGGCTGAGTACAGGATCAAGCTCTTGGGTCTGGCCTCAGCCAAGTCACTAACTCCCTATGAACAGAATAGATATAGTATGGGATTTGTGTGTAATGGAATAATATGTAGCAATGAAACTAAACAAACTACAACAATAGGCCATGACATCAATGACTTACAATGTGGAGCAAAAGAAGCCAGATACAAAGAACACATGCTGTAGGTTCTTTCCATTTATATATATAGTCATGTGCCACTTCACAGAGATAAATTCTAAAAAATGTGTCCATAGGCCGTCTAGGTTGTGTGAGCATCCCAGTGCACTTACACAAACCTAGATGTTACAGCCACTACACACCTAGACTGTTTCTCTATGGGGGAGGAAAAATATATTTCCCTCTATCCTTTTAGGTTCTTGGCTGAGACTTCCCTGTAATAAAAGATAGATTATCAGGAGAAAAACCAAGTTTAATAACAGGTATACCTTCTGTATACATGAGAGACACCCAGGAAAACTGAGAACTCAGAAAATAGCCAAAGCCACCACCTTAAATACCATATTCAGCTGAAGACAAAAGAAAATATTAGGGGTAGGAGAGTCAGTTATGGGAATTTACCAGGAAAAGCACAGTAACAAGGGAAAGGTTGTTAAGCAGATTTAAGTCATTGTCTTCTGCATTGATAAGAGTTTCTAGAGATAAGGTATCACTACGTTAGGAATTCTTCAGGTCCATTATAATCTTTTGGGATCCTTAATTAACCAAAAAGTCCTTATGCAGCACATGACTGTAGTTAAAAAACAAGCAAAACTAATCTACCTGTGCGAACAAGAGATGGGTTAGGTATTATTAGAAAAGGGCCACAAGGTGAGCTTCCAGGAATACTAATAACATTCTAGATCTTGATCTGTTCTAGTTCTTGATCTAGATCTTGATATGTTCTGTACATTTTTCTGTATTAATTCTATAAAAAATAAAAATATAAAATCCTTTAATAAAAATATTAAGTTTAGGTGATGGGTATATAGGTATTCACAATACTATTTCCTATACATCTTCTGTTTGAAAATTATTAATAAAGTCAAAATAAAATAAAATTATGATATGGGGGAAGGAAAGAGAATGGACAATTCTAGGTCCTAAACCCACAAGTTCTCAAAGGTGTGTTAACGCCAAGCTAGATAATGTTATCTAGTTTGCATTAGACACATTTTTCTTAACATAGAAAGGATTGGAAACAAATTAAATCCACTAATACTATAACTTCTGCTACAAGAACTCCTGCCATCATTACAGCTCATGTCATATTATACAAAAGTCTATCTTGGTTGGCCCCGGCCCAGTAGCTCAGTTGGTTAGAGCACCATCCTGATACACCAAGGTTGTGGATTCAAACCCTGGTCAGGGCACATACAAGAATTAACCAGTGAATGCATAAATAAGTGGAACAACAAATCAATGTCTCTTTCTCTCTCTCTCTCTCTCAAAATCAATAAATAAAATTTTTTAAAAGTCTATCTTGGATCAAACATGATTTAGTCAAAATAAAGGACAAAGGTTTTCAAAGCCCGAAGCAACTACCTAGAAAAAAAAAGAGACTTTAATCTCATTACTTTAACCCCATTAACATGGCATTTGCAATGAAATCCTTTCCTGAGGGCCTTCTGCCACTGTTTATATTTTGTTAATTTCAAGCTATTAGATTAGTCAGGTTGGTGAAGAATAAAAGTTTATATGTAATTCTAAATATCTGAGCCCTGACTGGTGTGGCTCAGTGGATAGAGCGCCGGCCTGCAGACTGAAGAGTCCCAGGTTTGATTCGGTCAAGGGCCTGT